TTCCATTTACCAATTTGCTAACAAAATAGCAAGCATTCAGGAGGAATCACAATTATTTAGAAACCAAAACAGAAGTGTATTATCAGAATAATACTTATAATGGTCTCATATAAACTAAAATATACTTTTCTTAGACATATATTTCAATCCTCTTAAGTCTAATTTTTATAAGTAGAATTAAAATAGCAGATGACAAATTTCAAAGTGCTTAGAATTTTGAACTATGAAGTGAGTGAGGCAATGTTTCTTTGCATATTTTTTGTGGTTTTATCATGCACCGTTTTATATGATGTTTCAATATTAGGCAGTTGTAAAACATGAATAAAATCTACATTGTTTAGATTGCTTTCTCTGTCACAATATTTGAATTTAATTAACTTTATATAGATGGCTTATTTGTTATAGCTGAATATATAAATATGTAATAAGCTTTTTGTTATTTTCAGTATGTTTCCAACATGTTGTGATACTTATTAATGGGTTACTTATACACACTTTACAAAGCAATATGACTATATCTTAACCTAATGGAATTTTATGAAAATTTAATTTCAGAAAGAATATGGTATGTTTCAATATCATCTTTGGAAGTTACTAATATAACCAATTCTTACATATTTGTGTTATCCATTCAGTAGCATTACAGCAGAAGAAAAAAACATAGGTAATATAACACAAAATAAAATTTTTGTATGTGAATAAATATGCAGTTTTATGTAGTTCTGGAAAGGGAAAAAAGGACTTTTATTTTCTAAATAAATGACATTTATACTTGTTTTGCAAGTTTTTATAACCTGCATGTTTAGCTTAGGTTGAAGTTAAGGTGATTTTTACCTAAAGTAAGTCTGAGAAAGTCAAGAACTTCCATTTATCCTACAATATTCATTACTAAACAAATTAATGACCTTTCTTCTTCAATGGGTAACAAAGTACCATTTTACATTTACTGTGCACATAAAATGCATTATTTCTATCTTCCAAACTCACTATTAATATCATGATGTGATTTCATTCTGTAGAGACTGAGCTAAGAATAGTCACAACTCCATTGTACAATTTAAACAATGTTTATATTTATTTTAAGCTATAGATATAAACTAATGATGCTTTCTAGGTCTAAGAATAGTATTCCAAGCCATTATACTTATCGTTCACAATTAATATTGTTTAAATTGGATTATTTATGTTTAAAAAGCCTACTGAGATAATACATAGAAAATGTTTCAGAAACTAGATAGTGTTATCAATGCTGGGGTAGCACAGAATTGTAATTATTATAATGAATGAAAAAATTTGTGGAAATGAAAATGGTCGAGAATAGAGATTATAAAAGTTTTCAGAACTTGTTGTGAATGCCTCAAATATTTAGAGTTGGATATTGATGAGAACCTATGAAAGAAAAGAGGATGAAGATAAAAATTTGATGGCAAATAGGCATAAAGAAATTGGCTGGCTGGATAAGAAGTGATCAGGAAGGTCTAGGAACAAGAAAGTCTTTAAGAATGCACATCACCACTGTTCTATGGAGAAAGTTTAAGATATCTGAACCAATAGTGGTGGAATTTATTTTGTCTGAAATTATTATTCTGTAAATCTTACTGAAAATCAATTTGATAGTGGTTGAAATGTTCTGTTTCCTAAAACCCAAGTGGTTGTTAAATTGCAACATCTATGAATTGCAAGCAATGCAACTGAAAATGTTTAAGTAGGGCAGTTTTGCTATAACATTTATTGTGGTTGTTGCTTTTGTTTTGGGGGCGACACATAGTGGTCCTCAGGACTTTCTTTTGGCTCTTCCTTCGCTCAGGGATCACTCCTGGTGGGTTCGGAGATGCCTGATATCTAGCCCAGGTCCTCCAACTGCAAGGCACATACCTGACATGCTGTACAGCTCTGGTTCTATAACATATCATTACAATAATAATCTGGCATGTGTTTCGACATTTTGACCATCAGAATTTGAGGGTATTAGAGTAGTTAAATAACTGAAAATGCATCAATGGTAATGCTAGTAGATTTACTCTGCCTGGCTAAAACGTAAGTACCCCGTAATCCCCTTACCCACCCTTTTTGTTTACAACCTGCAGTTATTCACTATTTTGAAATGATGTAGGTGAGAAAGGATGTAGATTAGGCTGAGAAGGTTCCATCCTGGGGCTCCATGTTACTAGTGAAATAGTCACACATATAAAAACGGAAGAATGCAATAAAGTAATAATATACGCTTTATATGTAATATAGAGATTTTAGAATATTTAAGCTGGCAAAGTATTTTGTTTCCTAAAAATGACCATTTACATAATTTTGATGGCTTATTTTTAATAATATATTCTTAGTAAATAAATATTAGTCTAGATATAAATAGAAATATTTGAAAATCTAAAATAATGTTAAATTATTTGATATCACTGATGATGAGTACTTAATGACAACTAAATATATAGACTAAGCTTTGTCACATTAAAATATATAGACTAAGCTTTGTAAGTGTAGCTCATGGTGATTCAACAAAAATAAAAGTATATAGACCATTCTGTGGTCTGAAGCAAACAAGAACTGAAAGAGAATTTAATTCAATGATTATTAGTATATTATTTATCAACTATGAATATTTTCATGATTGGAGGAAAATCATAAAATTATTAGTACTTAACCTCAGTATATTTCTTATCACTACCTATAGCCATTCATAATATTTACAAATAACCAAGATAATTTTTAATCACATACTTTTGAAGTGACAAATGTACTCTATTCTACTTATGTTGTATTTTATAAAGAATAAAGCATTAGAAATAGCACAAGGAAGAAACAAAAGTATTATTCTATATTAGTAATTATCATAAATATCACCTATGTTAAATTTCTAAAGTACAATAATTTTGTTATTAAGATCATCTAAAATCATGTCTCAATTTGCTTAAACAATTTATCATGTTACACATATACAGAAAAATTATTATGGTGCTTTATAAATATAGAAAGGTGGCCTATTTGTTGCTATTTTCCCTTTTCCTCTTTATTTCAGCCTGCTATCTATAGTGGTTTCCTAACTGCTCATAAAAATTTGAAAAGCTACAGCTATAAACTCTTCAAAACATAATAGGCAACTCACTTATAGCAGATGTGGATTTTTTAAATGTTTGCCTGAAGTTTCTGAATACCGTCTCCTATACCTCCCCAATTCTCCTGGACAGTTACATGTACTGAACTTGTCCATTTCAGAAGTAATTGAAAACAAGGTTTTGAAGTAAAAAATTTATTCGTGCCACCCTGGCAAGCATGGCTTTGTGGGAAACTATTATTAGTTGGATGTTACTCCCCCACGTCTGCTCCTTTTGTGAAACCCAAAAGAGTTTCCTATAAATATATAAAAAGCTCTTGTGCTTACAACCTAAGAGGAGAAAAACACTAATTTCACATATAGACTTTAAAAATGTTCCTAAGGTATTTTATAATATTTTCTATGTCTTAAAATTTTAATATTGAAAGGGCAATGGAGTCAAAGTACATAGAAATGACCAAGAAAGAATAAAATGAAATAATATTGAATATTACTCACATATATCTATAATCATTACAAAATACATCACGGGATATTTTGACTTTTAGAATACATTTTTTTGACAAGAAGAACTCTTTTACTTTTTTTTTTGTGGGTAAGACAACTGAACAAAGAAAACAAGAAAAATTCTCCTGATGACAAGCTACAATAATACCAACAACAAGAATCCATGTCCTTATATGTTCTTAGAAAAGTTGAATTTATTTTATTTTTAGTAGAAATTAAATTTATATATCAAGAACCTTTCTATCATTTGTCATTTTACTTTTCTGCATACTAAATTCATGTCTGTGCTTGAATTTTGCTACATCTAACCAGAAAACGTGCTTCTCTTTTTATCCTATTGCCTTTTTATTTTGTTCTCTTTTGGCTTCTAATTCTTCCACCAATCTGTTGGGCTTGTCAAACAAAACCGTAGAAGGAAAGGGATATAGGTACCTCAAGCATTTGGAGTGTTCTAAATCCACTATGAGAGAACTGGCAAGTAAATGAATTCTCCCCGAAAAACCATGGAAGGGCACGTGAAGCAGGTCCAAAGAAGCTATCATCATTCGCTAACTCCTCTCAAGGGAGTTTATCAAACCAGTCTCTATAGCAGACAAGGTCAGATGATTGTATAAGTCATTACCTTTGGTCTGACCTGAAATAAATGAGTTGTTGAAAACAGCCAGCTGCCTGGGTACACTAACTTTCACACTTCCTGATTCACTTTAGTTGTCTTTCCTACCAACAAATTCATGCCCATAACAATGAAACATATGTTTCAGAGTTTAGGTGAAAAGACGAGAAACAGAAATTCATTTGATGACCTCGGTGTTATTATTTTGCTATAGTACCGTTGTAGTAGTTACCAATCCAATCCTACCAGAAATAAAGTTCAAATATATCCAGTTAAGAAGTGAAGAATCAGAATTTTCAGAAATGCACACTCTTAAGCTTAATCGAAGCATTTTTTCCCATCACAACCAATCATACATTTAGCTAATTCTGTTACAATCTTAGTATGAGACAACCCTAATAAAATGAAATAAATCTTACATAATGCTAAAATTATATAAAAAAATTGCAGAAATTATTTAGCGAGGTTTTTCCCAACTTCATGTTTTTGTTTTTCCACGAATATTTAATATCCATCATACTAGTTTTTTTATGCCCTACATATTTCTAATTTTTAAAACACTCTTCTCATTTGCAAAACGTGATCATTCAGTTGTTTCTCACACTGAAGTGTCATTCAAATTTGAAGCCATTACTGAGATAAATACCCCAAGAATTTTTGTCTGTAATAACTGAAAATAGGTTCGTTTTCCTTCCCGTTTCTTCTGGCATACTTTTGGATTCGCTATCATCACTTCTTTGTAGTCACAAAAGTGATTGGCATCAATTCGATTTCATTATAAATTACTTAAAAGAAGTGGTGGAATCAAACACTTACAGTCTGTGACTTTGAGGGTCCTCTTAACCTCTCCACTTCCAGATCCACCACAGCCATCCTCGTCGTCACAGTCCCCGCTGACCTGCTCCCCGGTTCCACCGCCGCTGCCTATCTGAAGCTCCCACTTGTCCGGTTTGGGTGACCTACCCTGTAACAGCTAAAGGCAGATACCAAAACCCGTTATTAGTAGCAAATCCAACTCATTTTGTAATACTCCAGAAATATAGGTAGTTATTGTAAATATTTTCTCATGAATTTATTTTTTCACTGCAGTCCTTTGGTTTTATCAAATTAAGTCTGCAAAGAAGTTAAAAATTAAAATTACTATTTTAGTCATGAGAGGGCAATGTTTACTGGCCTACAAAGAGATGCTCAATAAATAAACTGTGATAATTAACCATTGAACTCTTTCATATCAAAAAGCTGTTTATTCTTGGTGAGTTATTCCAGTATTATTCACAGCTTTACTGGAAAATGCCATGTTAAACTCACACTTTAAAATTAATAATACCTACAGGGCTGTCTAATGGGTGGTGCTTGGAAAATGAGATTCAGAGACCTGAGTTTACCCCTAACTGCATTTCATTTATAGTCTCTTCCCTCTTTGAGACAAAGGCAGAAAACAGTTCAGGTCTTCAAATCTTGAGAAAGTTGTTACATACAGACAGAAAATAAATTGCAAATGTTTCAATGTGCTTTGAGTCTTGGAATAAAGCTAATTTTGAGTTGAAAAAAACATTAGAAAAGTTTTAGAAAGTAAACAAGATAAGGCCTGCATGCTCATGGTAGTTCAAATTACTCATGATACAGAATCCATTGTTTTGTTTTGATTTGGATAATTATTGTTTAATGATGATAAATCAAGCTCCAAAAGAACAAATCCCATTATAGTATATTGGCTGCTAAAGTTGTACTGTTTTGTAAATTCAGAATCTAAAGATTTCTCAAAACTGGAGTACCATGCTTTCAGAAAATATCCAGTTGAAAGAATCTTGAAATTTGAACATAAATATTTATAGCTTTATTTAAACTTCCTTGAATGTCACACTAGCCCAATGTACATGGCAGAAGAGTAAACCTTGGAACAAAATAAATTAAATCCTATTTCCATTTACACAAAATAGTTAAGAAATTTTACCAATTATCTTGATTTGGGGAGCTTAAGTATTCATTTACCTTTATGAACAGGTAAAATGGAATAGTCATTTTCTCCTCAGCATGGGAGTACTTGCAAATGTTTTCAAAGGTACTGAAAATGCCTGAACTCCTGTCTGAAAAGGTGATGTCACGAATAATATAGTATTTTACTTAAAGCTCAGAATGAGTAAAATGATTCTCCCACCTAAGGCAGTTTTGGATAACGCATGTTCAAAGATGGACACTGGGGGCTTCCTACTGTATTATAAATAAAATGTGCTTCAACTGAACACTTAATTGGCATTTACATTTTAGGGGCTACATAAAAGCATTAGGGTTGATACTTCCAAGATATTTTCCAAATAGTATTGAGGAACATACAATGACTATATGTTGAAACCATATGGAAAAACACAGGTTGAGATATACTCATTAAACTTGGACAAATATATTTAATATTCAAAGTGAACTTCACTAATTAAGAAGCCGGCTTATAACAATATTACTAATATTATATTGGAAAATGTAAAATGTTAAACAACTTGATAATAATTTCTAAAGTTTTTGTCAGTGTTTTATTTACTCAAAATGTCTTAATAGGTGCTAAACTTTCATAGTTAGGTGAATTCAGAGAATGTTATTAGACGCCTCTTTGGTGTTTAATGTGGCAATGTGTATGTTACTTCCAGCAAAAGAACTACAGATATGTAACAAAATACTTAACTAATAAAAGTCTGGGAAAGGAAAAGCTGGATAACATTAGATTTTAAGAAATATAAAATAATATTGTTTATTTTATTTTAATACAGTCATGTGAATTCTAAGATATAACATCACTTGATTTGAATTTATTTATTTATTTGGAATTTTGGTCACACCCTGTGATGCTCAGAGGTTATTCTTGGCTCTGCACTCAGGAATTATTCTTGACGGTGCTCAGGCAGGAAACCATATGGAATTCTGGGAATCAAACCTGGGTTGGCCAGATGCAAGACAACCATTATCTGCTGTACTATCTCTCTGGCCCTGATTTGAATTATTATTCTAGTCCTAGACAAGGAACAAGTTAATACATACTTTATTTCCCACATAAATAAATGAGGATGATAACATAGCTGAGCCATTGTTGATTTTTTATGACAAAAACATGTAAAGAACTTTATATAGCACTGGAACATTAAAAATTTATATATTTTTATTATCTATTTTATCACACCTTCTATGAAAACATGCTTAAATACTCAAATTTAAGTATTGATTTAATTATTTAGTAAATTAAATTGTATTACCTCAATTAAAAATTCAAACAAATATTCAAAACATAGATGAAAAGCCAAACTGACAGGTATTCCTTTCCTCTGCACACTTCCCAAATAATTTCTGATTTCATCATAACGTTTCCTTTACTGCCCTAAGTATTATTACAATATTTTACTGGGACATTGGCCAGTGCTAAGATATAATGTCATGAATAGCATCACAAAGACCATCCCACAGAGTTTAAACTGAAAAATGTGCAAATAGAAAGACAGTACTTTAAGATCAAACTTATCCTTGCTGGTTTTAGTTAAAGTCATTGAATATATTATGATACAATAATTCATTTTTTATAGAAAGTTGTAAAGATAATTGGAACAGAATGTGGGGAAGAATATTATAGTTTCTGTGCTTCTCTTTATCATTTCAGTGTACTCTGAAATAAATATGTATGGCATAAGAGCACCCTTTTAAGAAGGAAAATGAAACATAATGATACTTTAATGTAATCTATCTGTGGTAAATAGAACTGTAAAAGACTTTTCACCTAATTCCTAGGAGACAATGGGTTTAATGCCATTGTTGATATCACTGTCACACTAACTATTATGGTTACAATTATTCATAAGATGATTCATCAGTTGACTCTGAGTTCAGCAGAAGAGGACTAATCTGGCTGAACCTAACATAATTCCAGCTGTTCTTTAATTAAGTTTAATGTGTGTGTGTGTGTGTGTATGTGTGTGTGAATACATATACAAACATACACATTCTTTAAAGGCAGAATTTTTACTCTAGCTATTAGCAGAGAGAGATGAATCTTGGGTGGGATAGGATGGGGAGAGGAGGAAAGGACAGGAAAGATTCTGCCTCTAGCCTGGAAAGTGTGTTTTAGTTGCCATGAGAAAGCCCTTAAGAGGTGCTGCCAAACAGCAAAATGAACTGAACCCCAGGCAGCCCCTGGAGTGCAGTGATCTCCATCAGAGCCAATCAGGATGAGGGCCTTAGCCATACAAATAAATGATTTCTAGAAAAAGCCTAGAAAAAGCTGGGAAAGGGAGGCTCCAAATTGCATCAAGTTTGACAGTTCAATGGCATCATCTTAGTTCCCACACAGGAACCTGGGCTGAAAGCCCATAGTGATTTCTATCCTACGTAACTCTGAGTTAATAAATGGGTATTGTTTATCTATTGATAAATGTAGTAATTTGTTATACGCAAGAGAAAATGGATATCATTTCTCATCTTCGAATGGCCACTTTGTAACAATTTGTTCCTTTGGTTTCTTTTGAATCACTGGTGTACTCCCTGGAACTAGCAGTCAACTTTTTCCAGAGGACACTGTCTAACAAAGACTGTGCCCTTGAAAAAAAGTTAATTAATTCCATCTTTTATCCACTTTTTTGGTCTCTCTGTCAATCCTTATAACTGCTTTCAAAGTTAATAAGCAAGATTAACTGCTTCTAGTCATCAATTTATCCAAATATATCCAAGGTAACACCTGACCCATGCTTCAAACTCTCTCTCTCTCTCTTTTTCTCTCTCTCTCTTTCTCTCTCTCTCTCTCATTATTATCTCTATTAAGCAAGAAGGGTCTTCCTTTAAATGTTTATGCCTATTTCTCAATCATCTTATAAACACGTTCACTGAAATTATTGAAATAACCTGACAAAAATTATTGGGACATTTCAGAAATCAACAACAAAAATAACCCTTTTCATAGGAAAATCTTTATTCAAAATCCCAATTTTTTGGTCTCTTATATGATATTTTCTCAACTTAGGTATCTCTCTCCTCATATTTCTAAGAAACTAGAGATAAAGTTCTGAGTAATAGCATAAATTTTTTCTCTAATTTTTTTCCTTTGGTCTCTTTCTGGTAACCCATCTGAACTTACTGTGTGAAAATCTCTATACAAATTATAGGTAAGCCTCTATTTTCAGCCCTTGTGACTTCTGAAGCACTGATGATGTATAAAATATACTATATCGCTTTGCATCTTAAAATGAACTATTCATCATTACTATTGCTATATCAATCTGACTTATTTTACCAATTTCCTCACTGTAAGAATCACCAGGATTTCCTTATGGAAACCATATTATTTTCTCCAAATCAAAAACACTTCCACCATGTCATTTTTTGTCTTCAATGTCCTTTGTGAGTCTGTCAACCACAAATTCCCAATATGTCATCGCAGACAGGTGAGTTATAGAACAAAGTTCTTGTGTGAAAATACTTGGAAAATTCATTCATTGACCCATCTTTAATATCTTTGAATTAAAGGTTCATATAAGTTGTACAGTGAGTAATCATGGAGATTTACCTCCCAGTTTCTAAATTCATCTAAGAAAATTTACACCTTCCTGCAATGATCACTAACATGCTTTCTGAAATGTCCTTGGGCAAGAAAAGTTAAATTTTTGCTCTTAGTCAAACTTTAATATAATATGCTTTTTCAAAATGAATTGCATTGCAATATAGCTCCGAAAATTCAAATTCTGCCACAGTCCAGTCAGTTTTATTCTTACAAAAACATATGCATTATATGTGTGTGTATTTAATTTTATTTATGCTCATTATATATTGTCCTCACTTCTATTGGGTAGAGGAAGAGAGATTGGCCAACACTCAGTTGTGCTCAGGAGTTCCGACAGCGGCACCAAATGATGCACCAGGGACTAGAATTGAGGTTAACAGGATGCAAAATAAGTGTTTTAAACTGTTCTATCTATCTAATACTTGGGGTTTTTAATAAAAATT